CGTTGTTTTTTTTACACTTTTGACTTGTCGTTGTTTTTTTTTACACTTTTGACTTGTCGTTGTTTTTTTTACACTTTTGACTTGTCGTTGTTTTTTTTTACACTTTTGACTTGTCGTTGTTTTTTTTACACTTTTGACTTATCTGATTACAGGTATCCTCTTGTAATTTGTCTTCAAAATCACTGTAGTCTACAAGGCCAGTTACAAGTAGTAAGCCTAATCCGAGAGAAACTTGGTAGCCATTTGGTATTTCCCAACCTGGACGATAGCACAGGAGATTTTAAAATGTCTCCGGAGAGCCTCAAGAGAAAAATACTTCTAAAGGTTATATTTGTTTTCGAGCTCGTACTCTATAAAACGTATATTTTAACGGATTCGATCATTAAAGCTGTTTTCTTTATATTATTTCTATGCTAAATGGTTTATATAAGCCACGCAATTTAATTACTTAGTGTAGTAAAATATAGTGTTCATATAAGATAGTAAAAAATTAGACAAACGGACGAACATATAAAATTTGTTGCTAATACCCTCTTTTAATAACTACGAGTTTGTATCATTACATGAAAATGTTTTATAACATTAAACGCTTTTCGACATTACGAAATAATTAGACGGATTATATTTTCGACTCCTCTGCTGGAACCTCTGACAGAGGCACGTTGTACCTGTCGAACAGTCCAACAGGAGTGGAAAACTCGCAATAAAAACTATCTAATTCATTCGGAATGTGCTTGAGTTTTAATGCTATGAATTCTTCGTTCATATTAAATTCAACTAAAAACGTTATATGTCTACTTGAAAAAATGTTGACCTTTAAAGTGAGGTACATGATGGGAAACCTTTTCAGGGTAAAACCCTTCCAAGCCATTGCTCGCAGACTGGTGAAGTTTCGGAAGATGAGGAGTTTGGAGAAACCAATATTCCTTGTGTAATTATTATTGTTTTTATTACTGGTTTATTAAGGTATATTTCCTTTCTGATTATATCTTAATTAGATAAATATTTGCTGAAATAATTGTTATTTAAGAAAATTTGAAAGTTATTACTTAGAAAGTAACGGTTTTATTACTAATATTTATGAAACGGAAACTCTCTCTCTCTCAGAAATATGTTGAAGCTTATATAGATAAACTCACCAGTTAACATAACAATGTTGAAACAAGTATTTTACCTATGTATGCACGCTATAAATTTCCATTAACAGAAGAAAACCAAGAAAATCCAACTATGTAAAGAGTTGTCAGACCTAATGATACTCCATTCCATCAGATTCACCGACTTTAAAACGGCTTATCATATACGTAAGTTGGATGTTTATTTAGATATTTTTATTTGTTGAACGAACTACCATCTTTTAAATCCAACTATGTAAAGAGTTAGTCAGACCTAATGATACTCCATTCCATCAGATTCACCGACTTTAAAACGGCTTATCATATACGTAAGTTGGATGTTTATTTAGATATTTTTATTTGTTGAACGAACTACCATCTTTTAAATCCAACCGTTTAGAGATATCCTAGTGGTTACATCTAATAATATATCGCAGTCTCGGGGTTTCGGTTAGAGATATCCTAGTGGTTACATCTAATAATATATCGCAGTCTCGGGGTTTCGGTTAGAAATATCCTAGTGGTTACATCTAATAATATATCACAGTCGCGGGGTTTCGGTTTTATCTTCAAATGCCATAATTTTTTTTTAAAGATTTTATATCAAATAATATACATTGTTCAAAAATGCTACCACGTTCAGAAAAACAACAACATATTTTGACCCTTTTCACATTCCGAATTTTACGAACCTTCTTGGGCTATGTTTGTATTAATTGATTCCTATCTCGTAGAAAAGCCCACAGATGTGTGTTCCTTGGACACTTCCTTGGCTCTAAAGCTCATTCATTACACACCTGAGGACCTTCTTGACCATAGTCAACAGTTCATCTTCCACGTTCGCCTTAGCAAGCACCAGATCATCTCAGAAAACTTCAACCCGTTATATATGTGGTCCTCGGGCTATCAGATGGGTAAGTTGGTTAAGGTTCGTAATATCCATTCAACAAATATACTACTGGGTCGTGTGTTGAAATCAAACGCTAATTGTTTTGAACGACAGTTCAGATCGATGTTATATAATGTACTTAAAACGATAAAGTTAATACTTAAGTTACCAAACCACGTTCATAGTAATAACGGGTAGATATTATAACAGTTATGCTGTTTCACTTTACAGTCCATTATTCCGAGACTTCTTTAAATGGTATGGTTGAAATATTAAAGTTTGTTTGTTTTTTTGTTTTTGGAATTTCGCGCAAAGCTACACGAGGGCTATCTGCGCTAGCCGTCCCTAATTTAGCAGTGTAAGACTA